AACATACCTTGTACCAATATAACTAAGCCACATAAGCCAAATCAACAGCAAGAGGCAAGACATGCTTCTGCTCTACTTAAACTTCCTCTTCACTTCCCAAAATTGCTTCAAGTAACACAAGATGATTGTAGTGGAGTAGTGTAGAGTAGGAAGGCCAGCCAGTCAGGAAGATAATAAGAATAAAAACAACTAGTTTACTTAGCAACATTTTAGTACATTTTTTTTAAATAAGTAAATTCCTGGGCCACTTATTAACTTCCTGGGCTACTTACCTCCTGGAAATTTTTTGTCAACCTCCCAGCAAACTTGGCAGTAAGTTATTTATGAGCCTAAAATCAAGCAATGTGAGGTAGAAATAAATTATACTTCAAAGCATATCTTTGTATAGTATACACATGCACAGTGTAATGATAACATTGAAGTGCACATGTGCTTATGCCGTATAAGCCAATCCATTATTGCAAAGCACTAGTAAATACAACACTGAAAGTTTATTTATCACAAAATAATATTCCAATAGCTTTAAAATAATTAACAAAATATAATAAAAAGTAATACCGGTAACCACACACATCATTTACACACACACAAAAACAAAAAATACAATGATTTGATTCTAAAACAGTATTTACTAGTATAAAGGACTAATGACTACTGATGCCAGTCAATATACTATGCACACATACACACACACACACCTATAGAGTAGAGATTATGGTACTAAAATAATAATAATTATTAAAAAAGGTCCTTAAAATAGACAAAATAGACAACATAGTACTGCAGTTTTTTTACCAAAAAGTCCTTGCTATATGTAATCATTGTTAACTTGATTTGGATTCAGTATTATGCTAAAATTAGAGCTATTGTTGCTAACATATGTATACATTGTATCATCATCCACTAGTACTGTGTTACTAGTACTAACATATGCTGGATTATCTTGTAGTGTTGTAGATCCAGAAGTAGATCCAGTAGTTGTAACATATGCTGGATTATCCTTCAGAATATCAACATTAGTATCATGATCATCATTTGTAGATGTTGTTAAGATCTTTAAAGATGTGCTTAGTTCCTCAGGATTACTTTTAAATGATGATTTTGATCTTTTCCTCACACAAACAATAATACATGCTATTATTAGTAGACATGTACATACAAGAATTATACAGACCACTCCCACTATAATTCCACCAACTAGAAATGATGCACTTGGTTCAGTTGGTTGAGTGGTTGGAGTGAGTGGTATAGCTAAATAAGAAAATTAATAGTATAAAAAGTAATGGCTCACTTGATGATATGACAAACGTACTAGTGGAGGATATTAAGGAATTATATATAGTTGGCTCCATAGGGGTAGGAACAGGGGGGGCAGGAGGGGCTTAAGCCCCCCCAACTTTCATTGAAGGGGGGCTTAGCCCCCCCAACCTTAAGTGATGTACATGTATTACTATTATCAACACTATAGACTTTAGTTTAGGTAATCCTTATATGTGTGCATATTGTGTGATGATTTGTTTAATAAAACAATTAATACACTATCTTAACTTCTAAAAACACACTTTTATTAGTTTTTTCAGAAATACACAAGCTTCTACTTCTTTATTTAACAACTCTGTTAACATCAGCTTCAGCTGAGCATAGACTTTCGACGTTAAGGAGATTAAAAACTACTTGCACTCCACAATGTCACAAGAGCGTCTTAAACATGTAGTTATTTTGCATACACACAAAGAATTTACAGATGATTTACACATTGAGGACATTGCAAAGGAATTTGTTACATTTAATGAGCATAGACGCCAATATTTTGGACAGTATTAATTTCAGTACATGCTATGTATTAATGATCAATTATAAAAATAATACCTTAGCCCCCCCAACTTTTAGTTTGTTCCTACCCCTATGGTTGGCTCTATCATGCTATGTGTGGGAGAGGTACTAAGTACTTTGGCTGTCAGTCTGTCGTTCATTGTTTTAGTAACAACATTTAGTAAAGTATCATGAACATTGATTGATTCACTTGACAATTTATGTAAGAATGATGATGAGGAAGAGAGTGTATGTGCAAACATGGTAGGAGAAAGGGAAGTCATTGACTGAAAATATAAACTAAAATGGTTATAAAAACAAGATCCTACTTACTAAAATAATTGAAACAGAAGCTTCTAAAATATTTTCAGTTATACTTGATGTTATTGCAACAGTTGGTTGGGTAGAAATATCTAAGTAAACGAAACAATAAATACAAACATGATGATGTGCATACTGATCTCCACAGTGACCAATGGAAAGTCATTGTTTACTGTTATAAGTGTTTCAGATATTGTTGATGGAGGAGAATCTACACTATCCCTGATTCGTAGGTTAGTTGGTCCACTTTCTCTCTGTTCATATAGAACTAGTCTCTCTCCATCAGTTCTATCAGTATGAACACCAAATATGTCTCCTTCCTGGAACTGCAGTGGAGTCTGAGGAATAAACTCATAGAGATTAGTACCAATCATTGTATTAGCATTAACTAAACTAGATCCTATTTTATTGTAATTATTGGGACCCAGTTGACGCCATATTTGGAGCTCAGATTGAATAGCAGTGGTTCCATTATTGTTAGCTCCAAAGATCCATTTAGTAACTGATCCATTACATGAGAATACAATCCATGGATAAATATATTGGCTTCTGCGATAGAAAGGGCTGTGATCTTTGTACTTCAAGTGCTTTCTCTTTAATAAATGAAGCATTGATTGAATTGGTACTATTAACACAGTATCCATCTAA